ATATGAACTTGGATGATGAGGGTGCGAGACATTTGATGATTATTGGAAGAAGCGATTCTGTAGTTAATTTATTGGCATATCAGTTAAGACAGAGGAATTTAGACCCTGTTATTATTTTTGGATCTCAATTTCCTGACGACCAAGACGATTATTCCTACAGCATTCTAAATAGAATTATGGTATTATTTCTTTTTCACACTATGTAATAACAGAATTTTGAATTTGGATTTAATACCAAGATTGTGTATTTTAATTATTAGATGTGTGTTGAAGCGGGAAAACCGTTAATTTTGACAGATTTAGAGATCATTTATGGTATATTATTGTTTATTAACTTTTACCATGCATATAACACTTCCATTAATTAAACCGATACATTTGTATTTGATAACAGGAAGTCTTTATGATTTGTGGAATCAAAATTATATAGTTGTCGGAAGTGCTGAAGATCCAAAGTATTACACCAGAGTAGCACTTGGTGCTTATGCTAATCCAATGCTGTAAGTTTACGTCTTCAATTTGAATTTAGAATTTATGATTCAACTTACTTGAAATGTATATAAATAAAATAATAATTTTATTCCCAGGTATGTCAACAAGAATTTTAGATGCATCCTTGTACTTGATGAAAAGAACTTACCAAAAGCGGATCCACCACTCTTGAATCGTTTTGAAAAGCAAAAGATGGCAATAAATGACATTCTTTCATCCGAAGAACTTTTATTAGTACAACAATTATCAAATTGGGCACAGCACATGTCAACCACTATAGCATTGAATGGAATTGTTCCAACGCACAAAAAATTTACTCAAAAAGATTTGTTCATTGGGTTTGACCAAGACGAAACTTTACAAAGTTTAGTAATAGATGTTAGAAAGAATAATTCACAACTTCAGTTTGATGAAACACTCGAAAGGTGCAAGGAAACACTAATTGCCATTGCTTCCTCGGATGGAATTATTAGAGCAGAAAAGAGTGCACTGAATCGTGATGAAGTTGATTATTGGAAGAACGTTTATTTTAAATTACACCATAATGATATCGCAGATTATTTTAAACATCTATTTGATCAAAATTTGGAAGCTGATGGACATCAAGTGATCATCAACACATTTTCAAATATTAATGCAGACGTTAAAGAATGTTTACGAGATATCACCACATGTACTGTGCTAAAGCTTTCAACATTCAAAACAGAAGCTCAATTTCAAAATAGGGTTAAGCATTTCTGGTTTGAATCACCAAATATTCAGACATTGATTCTACAGTGTGACGTCTTAACTGTTAATTTTGGATGTATTAAATTGGCTAAATTCATAATTGAGCAATTTAGGGCCGACTACTTGAATCAGAAGCAACAACAAAACGCATATGATGCAATTACTAAGCATGTTTGTATTATTCTTCATATTCACCGAGATCACAAAACCTCTTTGGAATCATTTAATTTTACGTGTGGATGGAAACAAGTTACTATTGAATCTTTGATTCCTCAAGAAAAACCTTTGACTAGTCTTTTGCAAGGAGATTTATGTGATGTTATCAATAATGTGTACTCTTTTGAAGAAATTTTGCAACAAGAATTATTGTGGTGCTTGTTGTGTATAAAATATCCATCAGATGCCAATTCGGTTAATCACATTAAGTATGTACAATATTTTTACTTGCACATATCCGCTACTAATAAATTATTTATTAATATATGATTGTAATTTTTTAGGACGCTTATTACAGAGATTCCTAATCAACCAGACTTGGTAAATTTACTAAAAACTAGAACATTTGAATGGCTTCAAAATAATTCACCCAAGAATTGGCAGTATCATGTTGCATCCGACAAAAAATTATTGTATCCATATTCTTCATTTTCGGCAGCTTTACAATCTCACATACGTGCGCTGGTTCGAATACCGATTGCTAAGTTTCTTTGTTGTATTGAGCGATTATTTGTAACCAGAACTTTTTTAAACCTAAAACGTTCAACATCCAAATGTTCTAAATTATTACTTGAGTATTGGAAACAAATGACTAATGACAGAAGTCTTTTAAATATTGACGAACCATCAGAGCCGAAGCCAGATGGATACTTAATGCCAACTCTTTTCTATGATCTTCAATTTCCATTTTCTTATCATTTTATTAAACAAATTGATACTTTCAAAAAACTTTATAAAGAAGAAATCCGTTTACTTCAAGAAAACCCTAATAATATTGACCCTGATACAGGGAAACTTTTTGATTATATTTTTGAAGATTATATAGTTGGATTGAGAAATAATATTATGACTTCAATTCCTAATTTCAATACATTTCCACTTGAACATGCGCCAGAATTATTTTTTGAAGATTTTATCGCTGTTATTTCTGCCGGTAGATCAAGCAAGAAAGACATTCCAATTTTATTATTTATTTTCAAATACAACCTTGGATCTGAGAAAATATTAGACCCTATTTTAACTCATGCTTTCTGGTGGGAACATTCCGATCATATTATGGCAGAATTTCAGTTGGCCAAGTTATGTCCTTCGATTATTAATGAAACAATATTAGAGAATAGGAAGACAACAAATGTGCCATTTGGATATTATCTCATAGAAGAAATTACAAAGATAATGTTTCGAAAATTAAATGACACCAAATCTGGAACATCAGCTGTTACTCAACTTCAATCCTGGCAACGGGAGGTCTCCAAAATTTTATCTCTTAGTGAAAAGCTCCCAGAGGCTTCAACATTTACTTCATTACATTTATTACAAGTATGTTATAATTTTGTATCAGCGGATTCGATCTCAGTATCTAATATGAAAGAAATAATGAAAGCTGGAAAAGGATCAAAGGAAGATCTATTTAATCAAAAATTCATTGAAATCATTTTTTCGTTGATGAAAAAGCTTCCAAATAATAATGAGAATTCTATTCCAAAGCTATATTTTATTAACAAATGCCTTGACATGGTTCCTAAGAATTCACCTTCTCACAAAGATCTTTATCAGAATTTATTTTCACAAAAACCTTTTCCTTTTATGAGCCCAGTCATAATTCGTATATTTAAATGTGAAGAAACAAAAGGAGCATTTATAACGCTTATTAAAAATCCAACTCAAATTTTCACACTCTCTTCAAGGTTAAACCTTATTAGTGAATGTTTAAAAGTACAAGGAATTGATTCAGCAATGTCAACTTTATGTTGTGATATTATTCAAAAAACATTCTTTGCGAAATTATCTTTCCCAGAATTAGCAAAAAACTTTAAATATGTTGTTGAAGTACTTAGTGATACTAAAGCCATAGTCTTACAAACTATTTGTGCTATAGCATTTCTCAAAGAATTCGCAAAACAGTTCTGGGATCATTCAATTCAGGAAGACATAATGCAACCAATCAAGTTTGATGCTACAAAAATTGGTGACCTTGATACCAATGCATTAATCCAAGAAGTAAACACTTCTATGGATTTAACAGATTCATTAATTTATTCTTTCAAAATATATTTCTTAAGAGAGTTACGTGATAAGGGTTTGTCTATGAATGAAGTTCGAACGTTTTGTGAAGCACAACAACAAATATTACCATGGCTTGGCGACTTACCATGGGATTCAAAAAATGAATCAAGACTTCCATTTAATCCGTATTGGTGCCTTAAAGATTACGTTGCCGTTGAAAAAAGCTTTACTACTTTTCATAATCTTAACGACAAAGCATCATTTAATTCATTTTTTGCATCATTAAAAAAGAAAGAATCAACTGATAAACCCTTAATAGCTTTGATGGGTTTTATTATTAGCCGACTTCATGTTATAAGGGCTACACGTGATTGGACAGATGAAGAAGAAAAGGTTGCAGAATTTTTAAAGGGAAAAGTTGAACAATCAAGTACGCCGTCAACCATATATAAGCAAACTATTAAAAGCATAATATCAAACAACCATCTATTACTTGGAATAAATCGAGATGTTACAAATTCCGAATTACTTGTAAAGTCTGTCATTGGCCATGTTATTGCATTACATGCGTCAATTCCAGCAGATTCCAACCCTTTATCATATATGTTACATAACTTGAATAACTGCTCTGATCTATTCATCCCTACTTGTGTGTCTGATATTGAAGTGCGTATTACCATATTTATCATCACTGATACATTTCACGTCACAAAATATATCATTAATATTTATTCTATTTGAAACAGTCACTTATCATCTCTGCTGTAGTTCAAAGTGGACAAGTAACGCGGTAAGTTTTTTTCAGAAAAATTTTTTCTTTTTTAGCTTTTATTCGTTCATACTTTTATGACCAGGATTTTAACTATACACAAACTTATAGATATTCCTGTGAATGTGGATATAAATATGTTATAGCAGACTGTGGTCAGGCATATAGCATTGGTACTTGTCCTGAATGCAAAAAAACAATTGGAGGGCATGACCACAGATCGGCACCAGGGCAAAAAAGATTGGATGCAAGTCCAATTGCCACTATTATAGCTGCAAAGGATAAGCCTGGGTACATTATGGAATCGGAAAGTCCATCAATGTTACATTCTCTTCGTTCTTTGACCCCAGTTTCCTATAGAATTTTGCATTTGTTTATTCATGCAATAATTGGAGCCTGGGCACATACACAAACTGGAAAGTCTTTCTTAGGCAATAATAATCGGGAGAATACTGATGCTTCAGCTTATTGTATGGGTCACATTACAAACGACTGGAATACACTTCTAAGAATTTTGAATACATCACATGAAAGTTTAGCATTATTATTGCATTCGATTCTCGATTTAATGACAAATTCACCTCCCAAAAATTCATCGTTAAAGAAAGCAGCAGATCGTAAAGAATGGGAGTTATATTTTACAGAAAATTATATCTCACCACTTGCAAAATCAATTACAACAACAGCAAATAATTTCCAGAATCAAATTGAAACAGCAGCATCAAAATCAAAAGATAGCGTTAACAGAATTGAAGGCGACATTAATCAGACCTTAACAATGGATAAACAGCATAACCTGGAATACCTCCCAAAATTGTGGCGTATAATTTGTGATATTAACTTTGAAAGCTTCCGTGCATTCTATTTTGCAGACCTAGCTAAATATTCAAAAAGATTTCCGTTACTCTCTATATTCTATAAGCATAAGCAAAATTTAGAGCTTATTAAATACCTTTTACCAATTGTAAAATTTGTACGAATTTTATCGACAACACTCGAATATCGATTAAGCAGAGAGCAAGCACAACAACAGACATTCCAAGAATTTATTGATAACGAATCATCTGATGATGAAAAAGGCGAAGTACATGATTATTTGAGTTCAATATTCGAAGATTTTGCGAAAGCTTGGAACACAGTTATTGACAAAGTTAAAAATTATCAATGTCACGAACTTCCAGCAACGAAACCTCAAATAAACCTTAGTTCACCCATTGTATTTGGTTTAGTAGAACCAAAAGACACTGGAGTCTATCTTTGCGCGATTTTAGAGTATTTGGTTGGATTACAAAATAATTTCTTGCAAGAGGTTGCAGAGATTAGTCCTGGAACTTGTAATTCTCTTAAATTTTTAGAAGATAGTTCATTTAGTAATGAAAACAAAGCGGCATCATCTTCAACAAGCACAAACAGAAATTCTATCACCAGATATTACTTTCAATCTATGCGGATTGATCAAATGCAAACAACTAATTTTATTGATTTCCAATGGAGCGACGAATTCCTTCAACATAGTCAAAGAAATCTTGAGATTGGGTATGGGCTCGATATTATGTATAATTTACAAAAGATTGAAAAAGAACTTGCACAATTATTGGTCTTCGATAAAGTTTACATTAGCACAGCTGATTCACAATTGTACATGGAACCTTTTCCTTACCACATGGAATTATTCCAAGGACATATGAGAATTATTAGTGATATCAAAGACCTAATTCCACAGCGGCCAATTTCTACGGAGAAAATTGGACTTATTCTTGGATCAGCATTTTCATCAATGTCTTCTTTTGGATATCAAGAATCTTTATCATATGACAATGCATCAGAACTTCTTTCGCATTTAGAAATTTTACTTTGTTTTGTTAAAAAAACATCGGTTGGTGATGGGGAAATTTTGATAGAGGAATATGTTAATCAATGGATAAAACTTTCCAACTTATTTACTAATGAATCGTTTAACAATTTATTGAAAATTGGACTGAAATTATGTCATTTAGTATCATTATATGAAGTAGTCGAAGAGCAAGTAGCGAATGGAGTGATCAAATATATAGATGATAAATACAGATCACCATTAACATCAGAATTAGAACAAGAGATTATTTCATCATTAGATTTTGAATTTCGTCAACGACAATTTTTTGAATTTGAATCTGAAATGACGAAAATTCCTGCTGAAGATTTTGTGTCGGCATTAAAAAGATTTATGTTAAGATTTTTATCAGTGGATTCGAATAAAGAAAATGAACCATTATCATTATATTTTGGAGATCCAACCTTGAATTTGTGGGCCTCTTGGATAAGTGAAGACGTGGTTGACAATTGTTTTCCGGAAAATTTATTGGTTAAACATATCTTTGAAGCTTTTATGCTTGTTTCTGGTAGAATTGAGGTGAGAACAAAATTTCAGTAATTGTAATATCTATATTTGAATTATTGTTGCTAATAATAATTATAATATTTTACATCACTTAAAAATTATAGACGATCAAAAAACAAATGCCTTCCGTATCAAAAACGGTAGCAATTAATAACCCGCCAATAACAAAGGTTGTAACTAGTAAGAAGGCGCCTAAAACAAGCTCAAAATCCCCTAGTACTTTATTTGCAACTAGAAAATCAAAATCTAAAACTTTAAGCTCTAATGAAGCA